AAAAGCCTAACCGCAAGGCAGCGGTGTTTGGCGGGGAAATGCAAATGCATTACCTTTTCTACGGAACAAGTCGCCATACATGTTCCAACCCCCAACCTGGAGGACCAGGAGACTGTGTTCGTCAGACCTCTAACCATTGACCAACCTGGTATGAGAGACTCTGTGAGTGTCGCGCGGACACCCCCCAGTATAGCTCAATGGGTCGCCGAGGTACACAAACCACCACACCACGATAAGGTCCAGTCTCTTCGTGACGGAGGCTCGGATCCAAGGCTGCTCGAAAGTGTCCGACTTGGTGTTTTCTAGGGCATTTGCTCAGGAGAGGCTGGAAATTGAAAGAGGTCACCATAGCAGAGCGAACAGAGCAGAGGTTAGACGACGAATGAAGACCGCAGTGGCTCAGCTGTACCAGTGTTGCAACGACAGAGAAAATTTCATTGTTGCACATTTTCGGGTGGCCAGAGGCACCTCTTGCTTTAACTACTAACCCTGTGGTGAACGGTAAATAATATAACTAACAGTAAATCGCTCAGCTGTAACACCCGTTCGGTGCCTAGCTGCCATGCCACCAGAAGGAAGCACGAGGGTTGGGATAATCCCAGGTTGCCCAAACCTAGATAGGGTAAGTCGAGCTGCAGAGGTCGGGTTCGAACCACGGATCTTCCGGTCGATGAATTCGCGCTCTAACCACTGAGCAATCTCACTCCGCGAACAGATAAACCTCAAAAGCGTCATAAATCAACGAGACAAATTGCAATCACCGAGAGTTGTGGGTCTGCTGCATGTGAGTGCCATCACGGAGCCGTGGTCAACTGGAGGGATACAGGAGGCCGAAGTTGCAAATCAAGGTACACAACTTACACACGTGGCCGTGCCAGCAATATAATTGCTAAATAGATGAAGCAGTCAGGTGGAGACCACTTGAAGGTATCACAGAGCGGAGCAAATGCGGGCTTCCCATATGTCCCAAGGGCACCTTCTGGAACTATGTACACTATCATGGTATTTTACAGGGGTCAGGCAATGTGGATCAAAGGTAGATGCAAGTACTCAGCAGGCCCACTAACTGTAGTCAGATGCTCATCAAGATTCAGAGGTATACCGACATAGGTGTCTCAAATCAGCAAACGCAACCCGAGTTCGGAGATTAGTGTTCTGACCTTATCTACCATACTACAGTTGGAACTCATAAAATTTCCAAGATACATGAAGCGCTCCAGAGAACCGAGTGCCACTCCTCGGATTATAAGCGGTTGTATACGACATTACATTTGCGGATGCAAAACGTATGACTTTGGTCACGTTTTCAAAAACAATGCTTTATTCCCCTCTTCGATGACGAGATGTTATCTACATACTCAAGATTAGCAAGGTCTTCACTGGCAGCTATTGGAAGACCTTCCAGTGTTCTCATTAGGTCGTCGATCACGAACCTAAATAGGAGTGTAGTAGGCAACACTGCCGGATATCACTTTGTGTACGGAGACTTTTCGAAGGCTCTTCATACACCCTCACAAGCCCGGAGGTCTGAAAATACAAAAACTTATTATATTCACAAACTTCCGGGACATTCCTTGCCGATCAAATATCTTAAGGAAAACAGACAGGTCAGTTGGATATAATGCGCCTTGGAAACCCAGGAATAGTGAAACTGTGGGCGTTTTATAGGCACGGCTCTGTTCTAGATCCTGACGAAACGTGAAGACTAGGCCAACGAACCCACTACCGGGTCTGGAGTCAAGCTGATGCTTCTGTGGTTAACGCGCCCACTACGAACTCCCTTTTCTGAAAGTGGACCTTATCACTGATTTCCCCTTTTTCCCAGATGGAGACAGATGGATCAGATAGACGCTGACTGAAAAATTCACCCCCACTCTTGAAAAAAATGGGTGAGGTTAACCCAACGAGAGCGGTGGCACCTTGGAGAACAGGGCTCCCACGTTCACCGTCCAGGTTTCTAGAGCAGTTCGACAATTCAGCTGAACAGAAAGGCGACCACGAGAAATGTCCCTTTAAGTGCCTGGCCCGGCGGTCACGGCGTGCACCTTTATAGAAGATGGTATCGTCATTTTTAAGACTTTATCGTCTCGCTAACTGGCAGCTTCCGAGTACCGGTCGCATGGGTCAACCAAAGTGACCGTCTGGTACTCCCTGTATTCCTCACCGGTTCCATTTTCTTAGCCATCCGAGTCCACCAACCTCCACAGTCGGTGCACGAGATGAGTTTCACTTGAGGTCTGACGATACGTCAGGCTGCATTATGTCTGGACCCGGTCGGACATTTATACGAGACTCAGGACTGGACGGTCTCATTCCAGTCGGAATTGATATCCAATGGTAGGACCATTGGAAGAGAATCCAGATGGTAAAACCGACAAGTTCGTTTGAGTTCAGGAACCGCCAGCCTCTCAGTTACCGAACGAGTTGCCCGCTCCTTAGGCCACCCAGGGAAACGAAGAGTGAAGCAACTCTGAACGAGTGCATAGTCAAGATATACACATACTCAAGAACGAGCGCCAATCAGTTATTGGTCTGCGACGCCGGGATTTGATGGCAATGTGAACGAGTTGAGTCTGTGACTGGTATGCTGTTTGGGAACAACATGCGGCCAGATGACCTCGGTTATTTCGGAATATAGTAAAGCATGAAAACAGGATGAGCTCACCACACAGCTGAAGAAGCCGTTCGCCGTTGTCGAGTTCAATCCAAGTCAATCAACAGAATCTAGGATGCACTAAGTTTGGCAACTCTGTTTTCACATTTTATTGCGAACTTCATCTGATTCGTTCTTGAGAAGACTAAGCTTCATCTATGTAAATTCACGCGCCGGTGCATCTATCCGGCGTTCCATCGGCCCTCACTGGGCAGAGGGCCGCATCCGTCCCGCATCTTGGGCTATTTCTTCCTGTGGACTATCTTCCTGTTCGGTAACTCCGCGCTTCTCTGTTACTTGGCTGCAAGCAATTCTACTTCCTCTGATTATGCTGTCTCTCTTGGGAGTCACATGACAATTTTCACAAATTCAAACTGATTTTGCATACTCACGATCGGCGATATAATTGTACGAATCTCCTGGTTAGTCGACATACCGCATTTCATGCCTCACGGCCAAAAGCAATTGGTTGGGAGAGACGTATACTGACCCATAGACTGTTTGTCCTTCGCGCCCGCGAATTGTGTCCTTCATGTTTCGCCAAAATTATACCCACATCAACCTTACATGTCAACTAGCCGAAGTGTTGGTTATAAGTATACTCCGCGCGTGAGTAACTTGAAACCCGGAAAGCACAAACATATGAGCCTCCGTAGAAACTTCGGGATGGGTGCCAGCATTGGACCTAACTGATATCTCGCGTACGATTGGTCTGTGCCCCACTAACTTCACCAAACCAAAGACTGACCGATACATACACAGGGTCAAGACTTTCGCCCAAGCTTTCCCTGCCAGGTTTGCCCTTGTCGTTCGGCGGCTTCCTTTCACCTGAAAGGTACAAGCATTGTGGACTAGAGGCGCTGATAGACCACATCAAGCAGAAAAGAATCAGTCCCACGAATTGGGACTTGAATCCACGGTGCATTGCAAAAAACAACGCAAAAGTGTCGGACAGAACAATCGGGGTAGACAGGACCGCATTCAGAGAGAAAACCTACCTGCCCTCACTTGCTTTGAGTCAAATCGTGAAATGGAGGGTCGCGCGGTACGTTCGAAATCAGTCTCGTTTTACCCTCGTGCAAATTTGTGAAAGATTTTTTCGCTGTTTAATCTATTCACAGAGTACACACGAGCCATTGTTGAATTTTCTCACCGAAACATAATATTGACGTGATAACCCTTGTTGTTTTGCGCCCAGCTCCTATTTTGCATCCAGTCTCGACCATGACATTGACGAATACAAACCGCAGCCATCGATAGACCACAACAGGTGTGGGCGAAATGGCTGTCCGTCGAACGTAAAACGCAGTGTCACATTTGCAAGACCTGGTGGCACTGAAAATGCGTGGTAAGCCAAGTAGCTGGATCTCCTGACCTGTTTGTCTGCAATGTATATCGTAGCTAAGAAGGGAGCCACCAAAAACGAAGCCCAATCAACAGTGCCTAATCAGAAAGGCCGGTGTGAGTGTTTCGCTTCGATCGGGATGCTCGACGTGAAGCTGGAGCTTCTTTCTAAAGCACTGGAGGAAGCAAACTCAAATAACGCTGCGACCTAGACAAAAGCTGAGAAAGAACTTACATCGCTAAAAGAGCACCTCGCGTTGCTCTTCCCAGGTCCACTGGCTGCGGGGAAATACATCCAGCTCTTTAACGCGGCAATAAAGGCCATCACGGCGTCTAAAGTGGACAGGCGCTTGAGGGAGATCAGAATGATGATCTGGGAGTCATTCTCCGGAAAAAATCACGTCAAATGAGCTGGCGCATTTGTTCCTTGGTAGTGTCCTCGCCAGGTCTGTCCACCAATCGCTTTACGCAGAATAGTTACACCAGAAAGCGAAAACTTGGGTTTCTAGTCACCCTCTCCTCCCAGTCTGGAATACGGAATATCTTAAGGTGGGCTGGCAACATTCGAAAGGCCTACCCAATGAGTAGGCATCCGTCTGAAGATCCCCCTCTAGAGACGCGAACGCTGGGCCCAAGGAGTTCTCGGGTGGAGGCGCAAAAAATGCTTCCGCTTGGCGCCGGTTCAGCCGACTCCAGACTCATGTACACACCGATTGTAACCATAGCTCCTGAAAGCGTGCCGATGCGACCGGCCGCGTCTCCGGAGGTCAGTTTCTATTCAATCATCACAGGCCCCTCGTCTGTCAAAAGCAGTGATGCTCTGTAGAAGGCAGACCTCACGTTGAAAAAGCGCCCAACGAACTTAAAGCTATCAGTGCTTCTTTCCGTAACAGACGACAAAGGTGCAGCAGAGAACTCCTCACCAGAGTGTCAACGAACTTAAGCTACCAGTGCTTCTTTCCGTAACAGACGACAAAGGTCCAGCAGAGAACTCCTCACCAGAGTGTCAGCTTCTGAGCCGGACTGAGTCAGATGTCCGGAAACAAGCAGCGGATCCCATCGACAACTCAACCGCTTGCGTTGATCTCGATATCGGGGGATGCTGCAACAACCGTACGACCACTGAGAATGTGAAACTGCCAATCTCCAGCTGTACTCCGTCAGAAATGGTTTCCCTGCTTGCGGATACAGCCGTCGTTCGGAATCCCGACAGCCAAAGCCACAAAAATGACCACATCGAGCCGGAAAATTCCTCGTACATCCAGTTGGCCACGCTGACTGCCGGCGGATCGGGCGTCCAAATAAACACGAAAGAAAGGCGACTGCAGCCTTACAAGTCGTATAGGGTTCTTCAAATCAGAAAACTGCTGGCTGGCTTTGAGGTGCAATCCCCTGAGAAAACGAGCCTCACGGGAGCGCCACCAAATGAATCACTTCTTGGCATCGCCACCCAGCCCTCAGGGTCTCACAAAAACAACTTCCCCGTCAAATAATAATAATAATCTTGTTTATTCCCAACATGCGGGTGGCATACCGTCTGGCATGATCATGCGTTGACAGTCCTCATGAGACATGACTGGGGGATTTGCGGGTAGTGAGGATTGCACGAAAAAAGGAAACAGAAATTTCAAGGTCAGGTGTTGTAGAAACGTTTTTTATTATAGCCCAGCCATAGGCCTTTAACCATTTTTTATACCAGGTAACTATTTTTTCACCAGGGATCCCTAGTTATCTGCGGTCACAGAGTTAAACAGGTCTCCCTTCTTCAGTAGGCTTAATAGGCGTCAGTCCCCAACGCGTTTAGCCTTCTCCTGCATAATCGTCCCTGACGACGCGCCGCCATTTGCCCACCAATTCAGTTATTCCTGAATATCACCATTTCCACCAACTGATGCTTCGTTTCTGACCGGAAACGCCACTCATCGCAAAGTTTACGCTACTGTTCCTCAGCCTACTTCGAAGTATTTCATTATGACACCGCCCCCGTCTTCTTCCTCTAAGCGGTTGCCAGACCCCGAATCCCCATCAACTATCTCCACAGTATATCCAAAGAGGCGGCTCGCAGCCAGAAGACCCAGCTTCCAACCCCCACATCCACTGAGGCCGGCAAAAACTGTACCACAGACAACCACAGATTGTTCAGTAGTCCTAACCGAGATATCACCAGTAGAACCTCAGGTCCTGAAAGACCTGGAAAACCTCAGAATCCGTCTACACAATATGGAAAGTGAAATATCTTCCTTGCGAACCATACAATCGATTGCATGTCTCTTAAATCATGATGCAACATGTGATCCTACAAACTTAAAAAAAAACGTCTATTCTAATTGACACGATTGCATCAGAGAGTTGTCAATGCATCAAATGTTGACACCAGGTCCTAGTATTCAACGCACCTGAACAAACTCCGCTTGAGCACACCAAAACCGCCATCTTGTGGCATGCTGGATACCATGTGTACAGCTTGGCGGCTCAGAAAGTCGAAACCACCCATGTACTGCCCAATAATAATGCAATTCCGGGATGAAAAAGATGCTGCGCGTCTGCTAACAGCCCGGACTCTTCTCTCATCTACCAAAAAATCTCATACCTTGAAACTTAAAACTGCTCGTACAAGAATGCAAAGACAGTTTACCAAAAAGTCATCAGAACCTGTTTCATCGTCACCCACCATTACTTGCGCTGACGAGTGCCACAATACCACACAAAGCTGTGTGTTGGACCCAGGTCCCGTACCCCACGCTCATGACCATGAGCCCTCCACTCATATCTCTGAGCATCCACAAATGTTATCTCCGACCTCCACCACGCCAACGAGATCGACTTCTGATTTAGGAGATATGGTAACTAATCGGCCCACACATGAGGCTGTGGTGGAGAATGATACCACAGCTTCTCACTCTAGACCTCCTGACCTAGTGACACTTCGTGTCTCCCCTCCAAAGCGCTTCCTTGGACTCAAGCACCTGCTGTCCAAGCCTCGCACCATAACCCCTTCTCCTGTACCAACCCCCAAGCTTCTGCTCTTCGCCCTTCTACCAACCTGACCAAACCCGTAATTCCTCATAAGCATATCTATAGCCCCTCTAGCCGTGCAACTCAGTTCCCTGGCAGGGTCTCTTAACCACAACTACCGTTACGTAATCCTAGACCCTATCAAGTTCCGCCCCTCTGGAAACCTGCGCACTATATGCCTGGGATCCCTTTTCAGCAATTACCTACCCCACTACAGCCTCCGCCCCCTCCGAAGCCACGTGTAGCCCCAACTCTACGAACTTTAGCTGTATCTCGACTTCCTACTCCAAACCCCCTTCAACTGCAGCCAACGCAGAGGATTCCTGCTTACTCCCAACGGAGCTCACCCTTCCCAGAGTGTTTGATTATGCCACCAACTTCCTCATCGCACCATGTGCCCTCTCCTCACCCTGAATCTCTTACCATAAGCCTCTTATTCCATCTCCTTCAATCAACCCAGCTTGGTTACCCTTTCCCTCCACCCCCTACGATTCGGTGCTGAAAGCTCTACAAAACATATCCACCCGACCTCTCGATGCTCCTGTCTTACCCTCTCATTCCCTGTCTCTTATACACTTCTGCCCATCCATCCCGCACGACCTAAATCCCGCTGTTTCTGTCGAGCTACCACACACAGTAACACTTTCTGAATACGTCGATTACATTATTACAAACGATTGCCCTACCCAGCCTGTTGTTGTTTGTCCATGGAGCTCCTCCTCCCAAAATCAGTCCGTACCCAATACTGAGCCTGAACCAGTACCTCCTGCCGTGGGTTCAAACCGATTCCAACGACGATTTACCCATCTACAAAGAGTAGTGAATACTCCCTCCCAGACTGACTCCCCCGTTTCGTATAACCTAACCACCAGGTACCTAGTCCCCCCAATGCAGAACCCCGCCGTAAGTGAGGTTACAAAGTTCCTACTTAGTACCCTCTGCTCGCCAATGAGCTCGTCAATAATGTTATTCAATGTCCGCCCATTACTGCCCAAAATACATAACCTCCGAGCGATTGGAGCCATTGCACGGCCGAGTATTATCTGTGTGACTGAAACGTGGCTCACAGATGAAACTCCTGACTCAGCCATCTTAATCCCTGGCTATGACACTTACCGCTCCGATAGGAAAAACTCAAGGGGCGGTGGCTGTGCCATTTGACGAATCTTCTCTGGAAGGGATTCCAGAGACCATTTGGGTATCCATAGAACAGACCAAGCGACCTGTACTAGTAGGTTGTATCTATTTACCACCTGCCCCCTCCCCCTCCTCTATCGCTGATCTTTCCCGTATCATCTCCACTGCACATGCCCTTCCTCATCAATCTAAACTTCTGTTGGGTGACTTCAACCTGCCGGAAATCTCCTAGTCCTCTGCCATTGGTCCCGCCCGTTACACCGCGCTGCTTGCGCAACTTGGTGTGGAGGGCTGGTCCCAAATTGTACGTAGTCCCACCCGCAGCCTACGTACTCTGGACCTAATATTCTCCAACGATGGCTATTTGGCTACAGCTGCAGTTGGCACACGCTTCCCAGGAAGTGACCTTTTTGTTGCCTCTTGCAACGTAGTCAGTTATGGCCAAGCTGC